GTAAAATTGGAATTAAATCTACAGGTCTATGTTGGTATTGTGATAATAAATCTCTGAAGAAAACAATAAGAACAAGAGAAACAACAAGCAAAAAGATAATACTTTTTTCACTGGTTAATACTATAGTTTAAAGTTTTTCACCTTTTCTTTTCAATAAAATTTATAGATCATATGAGAAGAAACATGTGGCTTTGATAAATTTCTGGGTTTTTCCAAACTTTTGATCTTATGATTTGATGATGTTTTTTCTTCTTAATAAGTTAGGGATAACGCTTCAAAAGCAAGCAGATGCAATTTCCTATGCAACTACTCTAATATATTTTGTTTCAACCATCTGATGGAACCAAAGTTAAATAAAATAAAAAAGAGAAGCAATAAACAATGTCATTAAGGTAACTTGTGACAATATAATTAAGCAATTACAAAAATACCGTTTTTTGTGTGCATATTTGCAAGAATATTACTTAAAGATGTCTATTTACAAAAATACCACTAATTATCGATTTATAAAACCTATATCTTAAAATTCTAAACTCTAAAAAATGTTTTGACACCTAAAACCCCCTAAACACTCAAAACTAAATCCTAATAGAACATAATTAACCCAAACATAAATAATATAAAAAAAAAAATTTGAAAAAATGACATTTTTGTAAAGATTTCAAAAGTGTGACATTTTTGTAAAGTGACACTTGAAAAATGGCATTTTTTGAAATTTCTCTATAATTAATTGGGTTTGTATATCATCACTTTGTTGGGTCATTACACCCAAAACATTTTTATTGACTAATAGGACATTACCAAATATCCACACACAATTTCAACATAGATAAATTAAATTTGGTCATATTTTTAAAGTTTAGAATCCATGTGTTTCTTGACCCAAAAAAAAGAATCTGTGTGTTTGCACTGGTAATTTAATATAATTAACCCTTTAAAAATGATATTCAAGAATATCTCAAAAGTGATATTCTACTAATTAACTCTTTAATAGAAAATTTGTTTTGATTTTTCTTTTTAGTAAAGTATTTATTTTGATATTCAGATTAAAAAAAAAGGTTATGTGGAGTTTTTATAAGTATAATCAAAGACCTAAGTATAACCAAAACAACCCCTAAATCCTACTTAAAACCTAAGTAACTTTATCTTAATTGTTTGGTTTAATTTGATACTTTTTTATCCAAGATTTTGTTTTCTAAGTTTTTATATTTCTTTAATAAAGATTAATTTAGGTTTTCTATATCTTTTTATATTAACTAATGTTAAGTTAAAACATAAGCTTAAAAATATAGAGAAATTGCAAAAAATGCCACTTTTTAAGTGTCACTTTGCAAAAATACCACACTTTTAAAATTTTACAAAAATGCAATTTTTTCAAAATTATTTTTCTTTATATCATTTATGTTTGGGTTAATTATGTTCTA